GGCCCACAGCCGATCACATCGATCCCTCCTCCAGGGCCCACAGCCGACAGCCGATAAAAATATCGATGGGTTGTCAGTTTCCTGAGAGTTCCCGCCCTGGGGACAGTGTGAAAGGACAATGTCGGTGTATTTTTAATAAGACAGTGCTCAGTGTTAGGATTAATGTTTGAGATTTACACCAATCTCTGATGTTTGGGGGTGTATTTGGGAGACTAAAACAGGACATTAACCTGCTCCAGCCCAGTGAGCACACACACCCTGACCCCTAACCCCTCACACCTAACACTGACCCCTCACCCCGACCCCTAACCTCTCACACTGACCCCTAACCCCTCACACTGACCCCTAACCCCTCACCCCGACCCCTCATGCTGACCCCTAACCCCTCACCCTGACCCGTAACCCCTCACCTCAACCCCTAACCCCTCACCCTGACCCCAACCCAACCCCTAACCCCTCATCCTGACCCTGAACCCCTCACTCTAAACCCTCATCCCTCACCCTGATCCCTAAATTCTCACCCCTCATTGTGACCCTGAACCCCTCACCCTGACCCCTAACAGTGACCCCTGATGTGTGACCATAAATGGACTCCAATCCCTGACCCCTAAACCCAACCTCTGACCCCTAACCCTGACCTCTGACTTTAAAAGTGACCCCAACCATAACGCTAACCCTCACCCTCCCTGACCCTTAACTCTAAATCTCACCCTCATCCTGACCCCAACCTCTGACCACAACCCTGATCCTGACCTCCAACCATGCCCCTGACCTTGATGCTAACCCCTGACCCTAACCCAGACCATTACACTGACAATAACCCTGACTCGAACCCTGATGCTTATCCCTGACCCTAACCCAGAGCATTACACTGACAGTAACCCCTAACCCTAACCCTAATCCCGACCCTAACCCTAACCCTGAAATATCACTAGGCCATTGCCTCCCCTATAGAGTCTGAAGTGTATTTATTTTAATGTAAGGATTATAACAGAAAAAGCAGATGAGTTTAGAGCCTGGATTAGTAGATGGGACTAAAATTACAGAAGTTTGGTTAAGAACAGGACTGGCAGCTCAATGTTCCAGGGTTTAGATGTTTCAGGTGTGATAGCGAGGGATACAAAAGGGATGGGGGGAAGCAGCATTACTGAGGAAGGACAATGTTACAGCTGCACTGAAGGAATAGAAAGGAAGCACGAAATAACTAAAATAAGGAATCAGGAGTGCTGGAACGGGCCATGAAATGTGTTACAAAGTTGTGTAGAGTAATCATAAATTGGAAGGCTGGAAGCTAGAATTTGTTTGCAAAAAAGTGCGTAGTTCCTTTCCTTTAAGAGGTGATGTGCTTTACTAAGCTTAGAGAATTATACAGAAAAAGAATGTGTCTGGGTGTAGCTGAAGATGTATAGCCAATTCTGAAATTGTAACATGTGTCAATTGGCTGTGTGATTGGAAACCTTAGGCTTTTTTTGATGTTTTGGTAATGAGCTGGAATCAGCCAATTAATTTAAACCAAGCACTTAACTTAAGCCAATTGAATTTAAATCTGAGATAGTAGGAACTGATGGTTTTGACAACCTCAGACCAATGCTATTGTAAGAAAATTGATATGTTATTCAAGATATATAAGGAGACGGTTTTTAAAAATTGGTGTGAGAGCGAACCGCCATCTGAGAAATAAGCATCTAGCTCTCACAAGAAATTGCTAAGCTCTCTAAGAAAGCACCATCTATCCATAAAAGGTACCAAGGCACTTCTAGCCAGGAGTCCTCATTTAAGATTTCACAGAGAAAACATCCCTGATAGCCAGATCAGTGGAAGAAAGGCATTCATGTCTTGATAACAGCAGAAGAAAGGCGTGTAGACTTTGAGAGACTAAGTTTTAATTTATTTTCTTATTACTTGGGCCAATATAAGTGTGACTTGTGTTTATTAGAACAGCATTCCTGTAGAATTTAGTTCAGTTCGGGAATAGTTAGGTGTTAGGTGGGAATTGTTTGGTTTGCTAGTAATTCTGTTAATTTGCTCACTGTTGGGGTTAAATAAATAAATTGTTACTTATGAAGTGGACATCAGGGATTTTCTTTCATTTAACCTGCCCTTCCCTGTAACAATTTAACAGATGAGGCAAGGTGAGGCGAGTTTCTCTGGGTGTTTCGGGTTTAGTTATTGGAGGAGAACCTGTACTCCCGCTGTAATGGATTGGGGGCTTGTCTTTCGGTTTCAATTATCAGAGGGGTTTGACTTTCCCTTCCCAACAAATGTCCTTGGGAAGAAAATTTAAGAGGAATCCCAAGGTATATATAAGGAACAAGAGGGTAGCTAGGGAAAGGGTGGGTTTGCTCAAGGACAAAGGAGGGAGTTTGTGTCTGTAGCCAGAGGAAGAGGGGGAGGTCCTTAATGATTACTTCACATCAATACTCACCAAGGAGAAGGACATGGATGATGGTTAAGATTAGGGAGGGGTATGATGATATTCAAAAGCATGTCAATATTAAGCTGGTGGTGATGTTGGGTGTTTTGAAAAACATTAAGGTAGATAAGTGCCCAGGGTCTGATGGGATCTATCCAGGATACTGACAGGGGCAAGGGAGGAGATTGCTGGGGCCTTTACAGAGATCTTTGTATCCTCTTTAGCCACAGGTGGGGTCCCAGAGGACTGGAGAATAGCCAACGTTGTTCCTTTGGTTAAGAAAGGCAACAGGGAATAATCCAGGAAATTACAGGCTGGTGATCCTTAGATCAGTGGTAGGGGAATTACTGGAGAAGATTCTTAGGGAGGGGAGTTGGTCAGATTTGGAAAAGAATGGCCTTATTAGAGATAGCCAGCATGGCTTTGTGGGTGGGGCAGGGTTTGTCACAAATTTATATTGAGTTTTTTCTGGAAATGATGAAGATGATTAATAAGGGTAGGGCATTGGATGCTGTCTACATGGACTTTGATCAAATTGCATGGTGTGTGTGTGTGTGTGTGTGTCGGGGTGGGGTGTTTTTCTGACTGCAGGTCTGTGACCAGTGCTGTTCCATAAGGATCAGTGCTGGGACCCCCTGTGTTTGTAATATATATGAATGATTTGGATGGGAATGTCGGTGATTTCCTGTGTTTGTAATATAGATAAGTGATTTGGATGGGAATGTTGGTGATCTGATTAACAAGTTTGCGATATGTTGACATGTAAATTGGTGGAGTTGTGGATAATGAGGATAGTTTTCAAAGGCACAGCAGGATGTAGGTCAGTTGGAAAGTGGGACAGACAAATGGCAGATGGAGTTTAATCCAGACAAGTGTGAGGCAATGCATTGTGGGAGGTTAATTGCAAGGGGAAAGTATACAGTAAATGGCAGGACCCTTAGGAGCATCAATATACAGAAGGACCTTAGGATGCAGGTCCATAGTTCCATGAAAGCAAACCCCCAGGTAGCGTACACAGGCAGTGAGTCCCAGAGTAGTGCATGGGCAGTGAGTCCTAGACCAGGTAAGGATGACATTAGTGAACCAGATGGGTTGTTCCGACAATCGACAATGGATTCACAGTCATCATTAGATTCTTAATTCCAGATTTTTTAAAAATTGAATTCAAATTCCACTATCTGCAGTGGTGGGATTTCCGGATTTCCTAGAACATTATCGGAGTCTCAGGAATAACATTCCAGTGATTATACCACTAGGCCATCGTTTCCTGAATAGTCAGAGTCCATGAGGAGAGGGGGTTTGATCAGTGTGAGGGTGTGGTCTCAGGATGGGGAAGCAGGGTCTTTTCGAACATAAGAACCAGGAGCAGTAGGCTATCTGGCTCTTTGAGCTCACTCTGCCATTCAGTAAGATCTTGGCTGACCTTTTCTTGATGTGGAGGTGCCGGTTGTTGGACTGGGAATCAACAATATCAACGAAGAAACACGACAAACGATAAGACAGACAGTAATCCTGACACTAACCAGAAGGAGCGAACTCAACACCCTCAACACACGGGAAAGACAGGCCCTGGACGGATTAAAGAAGGACAAGAACATCACAATACTACCCGCAGATAAAGGGCGCATGACAGTAATACTGAATAAAAAGGACTACATCTCCAAGGCACAAGCACTGCTCACCGATGAGAACACATACCGGCCAGTACAAACTGACCCGACACTGCAACTAGGCAACAAAATCCTCTACACGCTACAAAGACTTATACAGGCAGGACAGATCAACAAAACAGACTTCTTAAGAATGAAACCCGAAGGAATCAACACAGCCCAATTTTACGGCCTCCCGAAAGTGCACAAGCCGGAAGTCCCCCTCAGACCCATAGTCTCCCTACCAGGCACTCCATCGCACAGATTAGCCAAGGAACTACAAAGGAGACTCAGGCACCTAGTCAACAAATCACCCCACTCCATCCAATCAGCCCAAGAATTCCTCAACTCCATCAAAGACAAAAAGATAGAGGACGAAGAGACCATGATATCGTTTTGATGTCACTGCCCTATTTACATAAATAGACATACCACTAGCAAGGGAAACAATGACAATACTACTGGAACAAGAACAAGACTCGTGAAACCATCTCCACAGACAACATGCTCAAACTACTGGACCTATGCCTGACCACCCACTTCACTTTCAACGGCCAAACATACGAGCAAATCAACGGGACACCCACGGGATCGCCTATCTCCGGACTCATAGCAGAAGCAGTGATGCAAAGACTGGAAGGGACTGCCCTTCCGCAAATCCAACCAAAACTATGGATACACTAAGTAGACGACACCTTTGTCATCATTAAATGGACCAAATTAGAGGAGACAAACAAACTTATAAACAACACCCTCACCGGAATAAAATTCACCAGAGAGGAGGAGAAGAACAAACACCCCCATTCCTGGACGTCATGGTAGAGCGCAAGACAAATGGGGAACTGCAAACGAAAGTACACCGAAAAGCCACACACACAGACCAGGTACTGAACTTCAACAGTAACCATCCCAGCACACACAA